ACAGCCACTTGCGCGCACAAGGAACTTACTCAGCTGTTTGATGAGAAGGCAGATGTATCAGGCACGTGGCCTCTGCTCCGAGCCTCTGCGCGAGTCACTGCTACGTGGCACCAAGTTTCGCCTGGGGTTAAACTCCTTGCCTTCAACTTTTATGGGATTGCCAATGCTGCATCGGAGAGAGCAAAGTTCAATCGAAACAACGAGCTCATCGACCAGTTGTTCACAGTCGCTGCACAGTTTGGAGACATCCCCATCATTATCGCTGGAGACTTTCAGATGGAACCAGGGATGTACCCTTCCGTCCAGCTTGCGTTGGACCACTGGGGCTGGGCAGACCCCCTTCTACGCACTGATGGCCAAGGTGAAGTTATCAGACCCTGCACGTTTTTCCAACACGCTGCCAACCTCGAAGGGGACGGTCAGTCATCCATTGATGGGATCCTCATGAACAGAACTGCGCTTACAGCTTTGCTTGATATTCGTGCGCTTGAACATCAAGACCGCCAACACCGGCCTGCGCAAGCTACTTTTGCATGGGATCGCATTGTGCAAGCTGGCACTATGATGCAACGTGCAGCAAAGCTCAATCTGGATAATGTTCAATGCCATGATCCGGCAGACCCAGGATGTCCCGTCAATCAACTTGGTGATCGGCTCTGGCAGGGTTACGCCACTGATTTCTCCAGTGCCATGGATGCTGACAACAAGTGGGATACCTTCAACCAATATGCCATTCAACTGTTATTGCTCAATGGTGCAACGTGGGAGAAAGGTCCGCATGTTCGTGGAAAGTTGCCAAATTTTCACAAGGTGCATGCCTGTGCTCCCCAAGAAGCGTCAGGATGCCTTGCCTCACCAAGACTGATTCTCTTACAAGCAGTACTCCGCTCACTTCGCGAATTGGAGTTTCGATTCCAGCGAGATGCTACTGGCCCTGGTGACTGGTGATGCCCGGACTTTCCGAAACACGCAACATCGTCTTTTGCGGAGACTCAAGGTTGCAAAGCTGGTTCCTTTCACAGTTCGTACCATTTTGGTCCATGACATTTCGCATCTGGTCGAACTTACCCTTCAGGCCATTCGTGATGAGACAAAACAGTTGAAGTATTCTGCCATCGCAACGTGGAAAGCGGCCATGAAAAATGTGACAACTTCGCTGGCTATTGGGAAGATTGTATATCAATACCTTAAACGAAAAGGCCGTGTTGTTCCGCCAAACTTGGTTAAGGACGAAATGGGCAACATCATTTATGACCCGCAGACAGCCATGGATGTCATTGCTGATAAGTGGGATTCTGTCTTTTCAGTCAATGCCAATCATGATCACGAGCTCCATATTCTCAAGCAGGTCTGGCCATATCTACATGACAAAGGGAAGCCCATTGCCCTCCCACCAATAACTGAGGAGCAGCTCTGGCAACAGGCGGCCCGGCGCCGGCCTGATGCAGCAGCCGGACTTGATGGTTGGCAGACAAGAGAAGTCCAAGCCCTACCTCCGGCTGCATTCCGGCCCGTCGCGCAACTCTTCAATGATACCAACCATCCTGACACAGGTTCGCATGGTTATTCACAACAAGGATGGTAGTGATGCCCCACTCTCGAAGAGGCTTATCTCCCTGCAGTCAGTGTTTACATTGTTGTATACAGGCCTCAGGTTTCTGCAACTTCAGCAATGGCAGCAAGAAGTTATGCCACCCCAGTTGAAAGGGGGTGTCAAAGGTCGGCAAATGGCGGAGGTTCACATGACCATGCAGCTGGAAATCGACCGAGCACACGGGAACTTTGCTGCCCTGAAGTTGGACAAAGCGAAGTGTTTTGACCGCCTTATGCCCAAGCTCTGCGCTGCCATCATGTTGGCCCTGGGGTTGCCCCAAGGCTTTGTATGTGGCTTCCTCGCTCTCTGCGCCCGCATGACGAGATTTCTCTCATTCAAGCAATGGACCAGGGCGCAGGCCATATCTACGCCAAATGGTGTTGCGCAAGGCTGTTCGTTGAGTCTTCTATGTATCAACGTTCATATGGCCATATGGGTTTGGATAATCTCCAACATTGACGGCATCGATTTCCGAGCAATCATTGATGACACATATATCTGGTCCCGGCTGCCCTCCATCACCAATTTGGTTGCTGCAGTCCGGGCCACGGAGTTATGGGATTCGCTATGTGGCCAATTTCTCAACGCCAGCAAATGTGAAGCCTTTGCAACTACTGGTGACCTTCGGAAGGAATTGAAGCTGGCATTTCCACAAATGAAGGTGGTTGAGGTCGTTAACATACGTGGAGCATATGTACAAACGACAAAGAAGAATGTTGGGAATTTTCCTGTCTCCAAATTGCAGGCGGCACTACGAGACTGTGAATCCATCAGAGACAACACACATCACACACACAGAGATCATCCTCCCTCCACACCGAGACAACACGTACAGAGACCACACACCGAGACAACACACAGAGACACAACGGGTTGGGTGTTTTCAGTTCCCAGATTGGCGCTTTCCCTTCCCGTGGTGTTTCCTTTTCCCAGATTGGTTTTTTCGGTTCCCGTGGTGTTTCTGGTTCCCAGGTCTTGGTGTTTTCAGTTCCTGGATTGGTGTTTTCCTTGCCCAGCTCCTGTGTTGGTGTTTTTGGTTCCCAGGTTTGGGTGTTTTCAGTCCTGGACAATGTGTTCCCTGCCCGGCTCCTGTGTTGGTGTGCCCTTTCACGTGTTTGTTTGTCAGCTTTCGTTTGAATTTCTGGCTACCATTGCCCACCGCTGGATTTGAAAGCACGTGCTCGTGTCACGCAATTTAAACAGACAAAGAACACCGCAAAACCGTCAAAGCCATTCGCTGTAAAAACATGTCAGTTTGCGTAAACCGCGCTTCCTCAGATTGCTTTCGCGCCGCAGTTGAACTTCTTACCAAAGAGGTTGTTGGCCAGGCTACAGAGTGCTATTGCGGACTCTATCTGGCAGGATCGGCCAATGTGGAGATCCAAACATTTGCTGCTTTGCATTGTACACAAGGCGCATAAGCTTGATCCCTTCCTGTACCGTGCTGTGACTGCCATCATCGAGTCAGCAAGATACCTACGCGCATCTGCATATGCACGGCGATGTTGGCAAGCAATCTATGAGCAAGATCAGATGACAGCACAATCATGGATGACTCAATTTGCGCAGGCATGCCATATTCTGGATATTGCACGGCGCACTCCCTTTGGGTTCTCTCTTCTCGACGCACCAGCAGTCGACTTTCTGGGATTCTCCTTGGCTGACCTCAAATGTATCCTCAAAAGCCTTGCGGCCAACAAATGCTATCAAACTGCATGTCTGATGCCACGGAAGGACATTCGCAAAGCTGCGGGGTTCCTTGATATTTCGCTTACTCTTTCAGCTAAGAAGAAGATTGCCAAGATTTCAAATCCTCGTTTTTCCATCTTATTTCATTGGGAGAGCGCCGTCACAGGGTGCACGGTCACCGCAGATCGACTGCGCCTCTGGCCTATCAGATGACTCAAAGTGTCGCTTTTGTGGGCTTGCACAGGAATCTTTGCATTTTTTTTTGATGACTGCTCCCCACTGCCCGCATATTTGCTTCAGCCCTCATCGATGTACTTCTTTGGGCCGAACTTCAATATGTTGGGCGTTGCGGAGATTCCCTTTGATGTAGTTCGCGCTAAACTGCGGGCATCCAATACTTCTGACCTTAGTGTTGTGGACTCGACTTCTCCGCTTCCTGCTACACGGCATGTGTGGACTGACGGATCAGTGCAGCTCTCCCACCATCCATGGCACACCATTGCCTCCTTCGCGGTTGTTGCTGAAAATGAAGAGCTTTTGGCAGCTGGTCAGGTCTACCATTGGCGCCTCTCCAGCTGCAGTGCGGAATTATGGGCTCTACTAGTTGCATTTGCCATTGCGGAGCAGCCATTGGTCGTTCATTCAGACTCTCTTACCATTGTCATTGTCAATCAGTTCCATGATTTGCAGCGTCTTGGCCATGTTCAAGTCGACTGGACCCATACCAACTGGTGGGTTTTTTTGCTCACGCTTTTGCATCAACGGCGTGGTCACTGCGAACACCCACTTCAAGTTATGTGGTGTCCGGCCCATTTGCTTGAGCATATTCCTGCCACGCTCTTGACAGAAGCAGAGGCTAGGGCGGCTGGTTCCACCAGAAGGGACATAATCCTCAACAGATGTGCCGATTATTTTGCCAAGCAACAGATTTGGAAAACGGCCGTTTCGTACAGGGCTGATCTTGCCATGAAAGAGACGGACGTGTTTGCTAGACAACTGTGGCTCACAAAGCTCAATAAACTCTGCAAAAAGCCGGAATCAGGACATGTCGTTGCCCTGCCAACTGCGCCCGAGCCAATGCCCCATGTTTCAGCGCGACAACAATGTCCTCGGTGGCCCTGGGATGCTCAGCCCGACATGTACACGTGGCAGGTATGCAATGATATTGATTTGCCTTTTAGAGATAAGCCGCAGCTTTCGCATGCAAATTTCAAGATCTTTTTGGAGTTTACCAACTTCCTCCGTTGGAGGCTTGGTGAAGGCCTTGCATGTTCTGTTTTTGAACTGGCGGCTTTTGCTTTCACTCAAGGGTGGAGATTCATCTTGCCTGCTGGGACGATCTGCACAGTATAAGCCTATGCTGCAATCATTCGAGCGGCAATTTCTTATTGCAAACCCAAGAAGATCATTGTGGCCCCGCCAAAGCCACACCTTTGTCTATTCCCTTTGATTCGCTTTTGTGAATCGTAGATGTTTAGGTGGTTCCTTGATCCTAGACGCAGCATGCTCTAGGGTCGCCGATGACCCCGTCGCACGGCATGAGAGCAAAAAAAAGGAAGCTCCCCCAGCCCTACGTCCATACTACTAGCTACCTAGTTTCTACTAGCTACCTCTAGCTAACCTACCTCACCTCTATGGCCTACCCCCCTTTTAAAACAAAAGAAAGAAATCGACATGATTGAGGATGCACATCGAACGTCCTTTCTTGGGTCTGCACCATCGACTCGGCGCATCAAACTGCTCTACAGCGACAATGCCTCACTGCAAACATGCCTAGGCTGCCTAGGAAGAAGAGGAGTTGTTGAGGCCTGGCCGCCTGGCCTAGGAAGAGAATTAGAATGAAGAAGGAGTCGGCCGTGAAGGGCTTGATCATTACGAAATTGAGCATTAGCCCCATCTCCTTGGAAGTTGAAGAACTGAGCTGGTTTTGCTGCAGAAATTCCTCTGGGAAATGGGCAATGAAAATCCCCGCAATCCAAAGGAACCATGCCTCAGCTCAGACCAGAAATCCTGCAGGTTGCGAGATCTTGTTTGCACTAACTCTATGCCAAGCTGCAAAGGCGGAATTGCTGTTCACAAACATCGCTGGAATCTGCACTTTCTGTGAAAACGCCAATGTCTGCATGGCAGCCAGCACTCCGATGGCCAAATGCGGCCAAATCACCTGCCAAAGTCAAGCTAAGTACAAAGCATGCGTATTTCACCAAAAAACATCTGCAAAACCCAATCTCTGCAGAAGCAAAAATTCTCAGCCTCAAGGACAGACTGTGAAGATCTCTGCAATCCGATCAAATCAAAACTTTGGGATTGCATAACCTGCAGAGAAGCTTCCACGTTGCTTTCACGCTTTCAGGAGGTCATTCAAACATCACCACGAGTTCCAGAGCCTGGCAATAGGACAGCGCTAAAATTATGCAGTTGCTCAGCAAGAGTAGGCCTCGTGATGAGCTCAATCAACATATCCTCTGGATTCTGACATCGAGGTTCCCACTTCGCCAAATGAATGCATTGGCACGGAGGAGGTCCCATCCTCAACAGTTCGTCTTCAATGCAATGAAGAACAACCTCTGCTCAGAGTGAGGACTGGGCCAGAGCCTACATAGGACGCCCAAGCCCCAGCTAAAGCAAGGCCCACCAACCAAATCCTGAAGAGGTCAGACTGCAGAGGACTTTTTGGAACAGCTTGTTGCAGCAAAGTGACATGTACGAAAGGCCAAATAAGTTGGGAGGACTTTGTCCAAGGCTCACCTGACAGCCGAACAAGTAGCATTGCTTACATTTGCTTACACCCCTGGCAAACAACTGAGGTGCCAGCTAAGATCACGAGTGTCACTGTGAACGGCCTCGAAAATGCTACCACCTGATGAGTCAGAGTGATTTCGGCCGGACAGTCAGAATTCAATGCTGAAAACTTGAATCTAAGCCTGAGCAACAGTCCGTAAATCAAGAATGCAACTATTCACAAGCTCTTGCCCCTGCTACGCCTTGCGCACGAATGTTGATGCAGCACAACTCCCTCAGACGCTCAGGCTTCGTCGTACTCAAATCAATTTCCCACTATATACTTTGTCTGCAGCTTCTAGCAAATAAGAAAAGGGTCAGTTGAAATAAGTATAGATAGGATAGGAGTTATAAAACAGCACTTTGAGTGTTTGAGTTCAGATCCTGTGGTAGGCAGTTTGGAGCTTCACATTGGTAGTAGGCCCTTGTTTGAGCGTAGGGAAATACAAAAAAACTACAGGAGGTATGAAAAAGGGGGCAAGCCAAATGATGACGCCGGCCCTTCTATTGCTAGCCGGAGTTTGAAAAAGACAAGGAGATTCCTGACACTGGCGAGGTAGCTGATACCGCTGGGAGTTTCAAACACTTGTTGCATCCTTTATTGGTCTTGTCTGAACAGCTTGGCATGCTTTGGCACACAAATTCTCCAGGGGCCTGCATTTAAGGGTCTTGATCCAGCCACGTCCTTTCCGAACTGCTACCCAATGTGTACTTTCGCCCATGTTTTGGTCTCAGCAAAAAATATCAGGCAACAAGATGCAAAGTGTAAGTCCCCAAAAGTCAAGTTGAAGCGCAGTCCTCGGAGGCAGACATGGATGATCTTTTTTGATGTGCAGCAATCGCCTTCATGGAACGAGAACTCTGCACAACCGCACAGCATCCACACGCCGAATCATGCTACCTGCGTATTGGCTTGAATGAAGCACTAAATGGATTCAGGATGTGTTTTTTTTGACTTTCTACAAGCTAATCACATACAGAATGCGGGCCTGCCGAGTTCTGCTCCTGGCACATGCAGCCACGGCTGTCAGTGCCAAACCCTGGCCGAACGAATTGGCAATGCTGACCACACAAAATCTCTACCACCTTGTGGTAGGAGCCCCAAAAAGCCTACTGTCAGAAGTGGTGTCACATGACAACGCAGGGTTTGTGTTGAAATGAGGCAAGGCATCTTTTGACGGTCAACCTGAGAAGGCTTCTACAAAAGCCAGCCGGCCAAGGTCATTTCAGCCCATGTCGTCAAAAAGTAAAGGTGTTCCACCTGCAATCCTTTGGATAAAATATCGGGAGCGAACCAAGTGCATTCCATTTGGAAACATTGGAAATCTCATGCAAGGATGGCGCGGAGCTAAACACGAAGACGCAGATGTGTCTTTCACCAGCGGGGATAGGGAAACTTCAATGCCAACAGCCCAAGCAAACTCTGCGTAGAGCATTCATATTTGATCATATGTTGGCTAATCCAGCGGGGAGGTGTATGCCTCCGTGCATGTCACCTAGAACATTTCATCTGGTGTTCAATATTGTACCGGTTATTTCATGGGAAGGTGACGGAACAGCACAAACATTTGATAACACCAGAGTCACCTGCATCTGGAGAAACTCCAAGCAAGGTTATGTGCTGAACCCAAACTGGAAACATTGACGAAAAGGTCAATCAAATATGGACAATGCTTCTTTTGCGATGGCACAACGGTCCAAAACTCCTCTGACAGCTGGGAACGACGGCAAGGCTGCTTGCTGATGTTCAATCTGCGATGTTTGGGTTCGGAAGTAAATTTAGCACACTTTTGACACATTACACCTCCAGTTGGAAGAGAAATGATGTGGTGTCCATTTTCTTGCAAGCCTGGTGAGGAAGGGTTGTGGGAAACAGAATCACTCTGATTCACTCAGAGGGACTAGGCTTCGGTTTAGAAAGGGAAAAATCATAATTCAGACAGTTTCTAGTGTGCAAATCTTAATCAAAGACTCTTCGTTGAGTCAAAATCGTCCTGTAGCGAAAGGCCTGCCTGATCAAGTCAAAAAAGGTACAAAATTGGTTGGCGAATATCCTGGCAGTATGTGAAAAAAGTAAATGTTCAGATGTGGTTAGGAATTGCCTCAAGGCAACGAAACAGCACTCCACACAGAGCCTCTGTGTGACTGCAAGCTAACAGGCAGCGTGGTAGTGAGACATTGGTGGCGGTGGCGAATACACGTTTTCCAAACTGATGCGCCTGTTTGAGTGGAGATTCAACTAGGGGCCCTCCATGTTCCAAGGATCCATTTTTTGGCCCACTTGTGGGCGCAGGAGTAAACTACTCCGGAAAGAAAATTTGCCCGGTGAATTAGAAATGGTTTCAAGAATATCGCGGTGCCACAGGCAGCGGAGTTGTTCGACTGGTACCAGCAGCGGCACCAAAGATCAAAAATGACAGCCTTCTGATCGCTTGGAGCCAGGGTTTTATGACCGGGGCATACAGACCGAGTGGTTCCCAAGTCGACTTGAGTCCCAAAAAGCTGTCAACGTTGGAATCTTCAATATTCATGGTCTTCGTACAATAACCGACTTCAAGGAGGTTCCATGCCCATTGTTGTACGTCATCCCTGGTGAGACTGGAGGTCGAGTGCAAAAAAGTCGAATGTCGTCGCGGAAAGACGCATCGAAGACGAGCAACTCCTCACCTTGAAGTGAAGCACGCCTAGAGGTTCCTCCATCCAGCGGGGTTACAAGTGTGGGGCTGGGGGTCAACACTTCACGGGAGTGTTTGAACAGCCGCAAGATGGCAGAAGACATGGCATCACCCATGGGTGCTCCTTGTTCCTCACGACCGATGGATCCAGGCATATAAAGGCAAGGACATAGTTGGTGGTACGGAAATTTTCTGGGTCGAAAGATACTGTGCAATATCCAGCTAGTCATATTTGCCAAGACGAGCCGGGCCAGATGCAGTCCGAAACGAAACGCTCACATGCGAAATCCCATAGGAATTCCAGTGGGCAGTGAAGTTCCTCCAGATGCCAGGAGCAGACTCACAGGGTAAATGGTGGAAACAATACTGCATGTCGGCGGATACAGTGAGACAATCAAAGTTGTTGGCAAAGAGCGCTCGAAGATGATTATTGAAATGATTGGAAATGTCTAGGAGATTTCCAAGAGAGTTTGCTTACCTCCTATGGAACACGAACAATTGGTGGGCCCAGCTTTGTGGTGGCGAGAGATGATGTCCTGTGTGAAAAGTCCCCCTGTCAAGATCAACCGTAGCTCAGTAGCTTGTTGTAGAAGGTACTCTTCACGAACAACGTCCGGAATCAAGCCATTCGTCCCTCCATCCATCCACCATCCGTCCATCTCATTCTCGGGCATCCATCCCACCTGACGCCACCTCTATCCCAATCCTCCCTAACTCCACTAACAATGACGTGCATCACCAGCATCATAGACTCTCCACAAGACAGCCCAAAAACAAACAAACCCATGACCCATGCAGGTCCACAAATTTCGATGATTTGGGCTCATCTCCCCCAGCCCCCATAACTCACTTCGTTTGCAGAGGCTGCCAGTTGGCTTTCATGACAGAATCGAACATGCTTCAGTCGGTCTTGATTCCCAAATAAGAGCATGAAGTTTTTGGAGGCTGCGCACATTTTGTTTATCATAGCGCTTCGGAATTTTGCCAATAATGAATGGTTGCACAAGAGGGCAGCATGGTGCGAGGGATAAGGTGTGATTCCAAGAACCCGCAGGCAGTCAAAAAAAGGCTTTAAGTTGCGAAGAGCCGTGTGTGAAGAAACAAGAAGCATCACACAATCCCAGCCAAGTTCTGCTCCCGACCAATCAAGTCCACGAAAGAAGCCCAGTTTAGAGTGTAAGTGCGTGTGTGCAACTCCAAAATACAAAATGCTAGCATGCCTTGTCTGGAGATATGCATCTCTAGCACTATAGAGCTTTGGCAGCTCTCTTGAATTACGCCAGCATAGACCCCAGATAGCAAAAAGACTTTTCCGGCCGCAGCAGCAACGGCGCCAGCGCACAGCAGCGGCCCCAAGCGCACACAAGAGCGGCGCCCTGCAGCGGCACCAGCACCCAAGCTCACGCAGCTTTTCCTATACTTGGAATAGGAAACCCAATAGCTCACGCTATCTAGGGAATTGCGCCAGCATAGACTCCAGATAGGAAAACGACCTTTCCGGCAGCACCAGCAGCAACGGCGCCAGCACTCCCAAGCGCACACAGCAGCAGCACCCTGCACAAAAGCTCCCAAGCGCACACAGCAGCGGGACCCTGCAGCCGCAATAGCACCCAAGCTCGCAAACGCACACACGCAGCTCTTCCCATAGCTCACGCTATCTGGTAAGCAATACAAAAAGTGCTCCAGAATACCTAGTCTACACTAAAAAGTGTACAAGCATGAAAAAAAACGAAACCATGAAGGGAGACAAGCTTGGGAGACAAGGCGGCAGCGGCAGCCAAG